AACATTTCACCAGAAAGTCTTAACCTGGATTAAAGAAAGGTCATGATACCTTGTTATTAGTTAACAATATCATAAAAGGTCATGATACCTTGTTATTAGTTAACAATATCATAAAAGGGAGATGACAAAATAACAATTAGCTAGTGATTGTAATCTAAAAGAGACTGCATTCGGGAGGACAATATTGTATTATCCTTTTATTAAGTTCTTCATAATCTGCACTAGTTAGGCAGAGCCATCGACACAAAGCCACTGACTCACGAAGATTGCCTCACAGTTGATGTTCGGGTTAATCTTAATGAAGTCTTCAACTGAAAAATTAAAGTTCTGTGCGACGCTTGTACAAGTATCACCACTCTCTGCTCCATATACCGAATTGCAAACCAGAGTGGAATCAGTTCTTCCAAAACCAACTGCATCGGCAAAAATTAAATGAATGAATACAAAAAAAAAAAAATGGAGTTATTCCAACAATCCTTCATATAGCGAGACATATAGCCGCAATAGTACCAGCTTTTATACGCCTTTTGGTTTTACACTTTTTAGAAGATATCTGGTTCAAATTTCAATCAGTGTTTTATTAGAATATGTTTATTGAAACCCATTTTTCTTTCAAATTTCCCGAGTTCAAAATGAAAACTCTAGCCATCCGAAGATTCGTGCAACATACTTCCTAGGCATTTTTGAGAAAATTGCAAGCTATATACGAAATGTTTTGGAAGTTTTTAATAAGAAAAGATTTTTGGGTTGCAACAAATACTTACTGCCAAGTTGTCTGCTGTTGGCCATTGATAGTGTGAGAATAAGACTAAGCACCATAACCAAATTGAGTATTGTTTTGTAAGCCTGAGCCATGGTGGTATTTTTGTTTGCTGCCTTACACCTGATGAAGAATTGTGGTTTCATGACATGACTATTTATAGACAGAAACTTTGGAAAGAACACCACATTAGGCACATAGATATGGCTGCAAAGCCGGGTGCAGGCCAGTTAATTAATCTTCTGTTTTGTACTTTGTGTTGTTTTAATATGTGGTATAAACTGAGAGGATAAAAGTGGTTGGTGATAACAAGAACAGGGACACAATGCTGGAATGTTGCCAACTGAAGATGCAAATTTGATCACAGAACCATTTTCCCATCCCGCCTCTTACTACGCAATATCACATAACATAATCCAAGAAATTCACGACCACTCAACACGGGCTTGCTCCTTCAGATACTTCAGCATCTCCTCTCTTCAATGCATTTGAATTGAATCTTCTTTTCAACTATGGAAGTCTAGAATGTCTAATGGTAACTTGGAGGCAGGGCCGGTTCTAAAATTTTAGGTGCCTCGTGCAACATTTTGAAATGGTGCCCCTTTACATGAAATAAAAAAAATATATTAAGAAAAAAATATGTTT